TCGTTACGACGCCCAGTGACGTCATCGTGAATACATTGCGCTCCATGTACAGTCCAAACCTCAGTACCATGCCCTTTCCATCTTTGCCGGCTCACCTGGACGCTGACAGAAGGTCGATTACCACCTACAGCTGCACATTCTGCTACTCACCGCAGCGATCTTCCCATGAGGGATATTTATGTGTCTGGTTTATTCTACCCTCCTGTAAGTTGCTCTTCGCTGTGTGCAATACGTGTGTTTTAATGTCTAAACTTAGAGGGGCCTTCCTCCTGTTTTACATCTCTCACAGCCAGACCACTGTATGGAAAACATCAACATTTGGTTCTTAAAGAGAACTCTACAAATATTTAGGAAAGAAACACCTTTGAACTCTGAATGATAATTCTGTTTGGCAGAAGAGATGTGGCCCCCACGCTTTCTAAATCCAATAGATTTATGATCATTCCCAGCTATGTGGCTCTCTCTGCCCACCATTCAGGCCCACGTTCCACAGTCAGAACAAGGGTAACCAGGACACCTCCATCCATGTTGTTTAGAGTGGATGGAGGAATCTCCCGTGCCCAATTATTTCACTCTGACAGCCACCGACACCAGCAGTCATCAGATTACCCAAACAGTGACTGCATCTGATAGGAAGAGACATCGGACAGCATGGTAGGACGATGCATCTGATTGGCTGTTCAGCTGACAGTTTTCCTTTTAGCCTTTTCAAATGAAGTTTGTCGAGCCTGGTTGTGCCAATATGGCCACCACCACTTAAAATTTGTGGCAATTCTCAATCATGTAATTACACGGTTTGTCTTTTGTTAAACTGTTTGGACTGAGAAGAAGGTAGACCCCGGAAGGTTTGCCAGGGTATGAAAGGCATAGATTAGGGCCTACTGATCCCACAAAGACACCAGAGCTTCTACTAGATATTATTCAAGTGCCTAGAGACAAACATGACCAGTTTGTTGTAGAATCTGGAGGCCATAAGGTCCACAATTGATGTCCCCTACCTACTGGTCATAGACCACCTCCGGGAGTAGGGACCACTCTCCTGCATCAGGCCCCCCCAGAAGAGTAAGTTCGCCTGCCCATAACCTACATCTAGGTGTAAAAAAATTGAGAAAATGAGGTTCTACACGGGACAAAATCCGAACATCCTGTCTCAACGAGGCAAGACTTCTGTTGAACAATGGATTCAACACTTTTGGCATGAAATGACTAAATCAAACAGGATAACCTACCAGTAGGATTGTTCAATGGAGCAGAGACAGCCAAATCACCCAACGTTTCAGGGTAACGACAGGAAGACTCAACTCGGAGTGTCCATGCCTGCAGCAACGGGGTACTCAGGGCCGTCCCTAGCCAGATAGGGTGGCATCCGGCATGAAGATCTTCCTGAAGATGGGAAGAAAATTGTTTCTCCAGATTTTTGTTTTCTCTTACAAGCTCAAATATGGACATAAAGAACACACATCAGTGTGAACAGCACTTCCTTATAGAGGAGACAGAGTCATCACCAAGGAAAAGGTAGAGAAATTCCAACCTGAATCCCAGACATCCAGCAATGCCAATAATAATATCAGACTGACCTGAATAGCAGAGTCCTGTGTAAGAACCGGGACATCGACCTCACAGGACGACTTGCAGGTCCATTGCAGAGAGATCATTGGAATAAAACCGGGAAACCCTGTGCTCAACCTCCAAACGGAGAAACTTCCAGGATTCCATGGTATGGGATGAATCTCCAATGTATGTGAATCCTCATCAGAAAACCGTTTATACCATAATATTTCTGAGTGAGATATTAGGGTGGGATATATCTTTGCACTCAGTATATATGTGTTGGTATTTGGACTTTTTGAGTGCTTTATGTTTGTATAGTAGTTTCAAGCAAGCATATACAGTGGATATAAAAAGTCTTCACACCCCCCAGGTAAAATGTTAGGTTTCTATGATGTAAAAAAATGAGACAAAGATAAATCATTTCAGAACTTCTTCCACCTTTAATGTGACCTATAAACTGCACAAAAGTTGAACAACAAACTGAAATCTTTTAGGTGGGGGAAGTAAAAATAAAAAACTAATCTGGTTGCATAAGTGTGCACACCCTTACACTAATCCTTTGGTGAAGCCCCTTTTGATGTGATTCCAGCACTGTCTTTTTGGGGAGGAGTCTATCAGCTTTTGTGAGACTTCAGATGTCTTTTTGCAAAATATATCCGGGCTTGGATGTTTTTCTTCAGAAGAAAAGACCTCCATCTTGCCACTGTACCCCATAGGCCAGAGAGATTGTTGTCACATGGACCACACATCCAGGACTTGCCAGATATTCCTGCAGCTCCTTTCATGTTGCTGTAGGCCTCTTGGCCGCCTCCCAGACCAGTTTTCTTCTCGTCGTCTTTTCCTCCATTTTGGAGGGACGTCCAGTTCTTGGTGATGTCACTGTTGGTGATGTCACTGTTGCGCCATATTTTCTACACTTGATGATGACTGTCTTCACTGTGTTCCATGGTATATCTAATGCCTTGGAAATTCTTTTGTCCCCTTCTCCTGACTGATATCTATTAACAATGAGATCCCTCTGATGCTTTGGAAGCTCTTTGCGGACCATGGCTTTTGCTGTAGGATGTGACTAAGAAAATGTCAGGAAAGACCTATTAGAACAGCTGAACTTTATTTGGGGTTAATCAGAGGCACTGTAAATGATGGCAGGTGTGTGCTGACTCCTATTTAACATGATTTTGAATGTGGTTGCTAAATTCTGAACACAGCTACATCCCCAGTTATAAGAGGGTGTGCACACTTATGCAACCGCATTATTTTAGTTTTTTGTTTAATCCACCCCTAAAATATTTCAGTTTGTTTTTCAATTGAGTTGTACAGTTTTTAGTTGAAATTAAAAGGTTGGGAAAAGTTCTGAAATGATTTATGTGTCTAATTTTTTTTATATCACAGAAACTTAACATTTTAACGGGTGTGTAGACTTTTAATATCCACTGTAAATGAACTCCCCCCTCCTTACTGTGTCAGATATTTTAGGTTGTTATACACTAGGTATGGATCAGCTTTCTTGGTAATTAAACTGGTGGGGGGGATGTGGCAATACTAGACACAGATGAAACCTAAACCAGCCCCTCAGCGAAGGTGGGGGCAAGAAGCTGACACAAGGAGAGGCACGAAGATCTCACACACACAGCTATGCTTTTGTTTTATATTCTGTATTGTGATATTTATCCCATATCTTGCTGACTGCAGAGACCTCCAGGATTTCCTATTTTTTTATGAATCTACCGGTCCCGTCGGCTGACTGCAGAGACCTCCAGGATTTCCTATATTCTGTATGAATCTACCAGTCCCGTCGGCTGACTGCAGAGACCTCCAGGATTTCCTATATTCGGTATGAATCTACCGGTCCCGTCGGCTGACTGCACAGACCTCCAGGATTTCCTATATTCGGTATGATTCTACCGGTCCCGTCGGCTGACTGCACAGACCTCCAGGATTTCCTATATTCGGTATGAATCTACCGGTCCCGTCGGCTGGCTGCACAGACCTCCAGGATTTCCTATATTCGGTATGAATCTACCGGTCCCGTCGGCTGGCTGCACAGACCTCCAGGATTTCCTATATTCGGTATGAATCTACCGGTCCCGTCGGCTGGCTGCACAAACCTCCAGGATTTCCTATATTCGGTATGAATCTACCGGGTCCCGTCGGCTGGCTGCAGAGACCTCCAGGATTTCCTATATTCGGTATGAATCTACCAGTCCCGTCGGCTGGCTGCAGAGACCTCCAGGATTTCCTATATTCGGTATGAATCTACCGGTCCCGTCGGCTGACTGCAGAGACCTCCAGGATTTCCTATATTCGGTATGAATCTACCGGTCCCGTCGGCTGACTGCAGAGACCTCCGGGATTTCCTATATTCGGTATGAATCTACCGGTCCCGTCGGCTGACTGCAGAGACCTCCAGGATTTCCTATATTCGGTATGAATCTACCGGTCCCGTCGGCTCCAGGACTGCAGAGTCCCTCCAGAGGATTTCCTATATTCTGTATGAATCTACCGGTCCCGTCGGCTGACTGCAGAGACCTCCAGGATTTCCTATATTCGGTATGAATCTACCGGTCCCGTCGGCTGACTGCAGAGACCTCCAGGATTTCCTATATTCGGTATGAATCTACCGGTCCCGTCGGCTGCTGCACAGACCTCCAGGATTTCCTATATTCGGTATGAATCTACCAGTCCCGTCGGCTGGCTGCAGAGACCTCCAGGATTTCCTATATTCGGTATGAATCTACCAGTCCCGTCGGCTGGCTGCAGAGACCTCCAGGATTTAGTATAGTCGTTACTTTGTCATTAAAGATTTTACGGATTGGGCTCAGCTCTTCTTTCACGGTGTGCTGCAGCGAAGGACGAGACCTCTGAATTAGGGATCACTCGTTTTCTGTGAAATCCAAACATTTTGGTTCTGTGCCCAGAATATCAGGAAGAATTCCAGTCAAAGTAAAAGAATACCTCTTTTTATTAACTTTTCACATTACAAACAGGACTCCCCCGTCAGGACAGACCTGGTACCTGCAGGAGGAAGGTCCTCCAACATTTAAAGCTGAACTTCAGAATAGTTTAAGAATCTGACCAATACTCGTCTTCCTCAGACTACAGACAAACACTGTATTTTTCTCACGGTTCATATATCTTTTTCCCTGCCAAGTTCACCAATTAAAAGTCCGCTCTGATGTCACATGCTGTTCATCACGGAGGTTCCAGACTACAATTACCATCATGCAACAGAATCTGTAGTGTTCAGTGAGGGTGTGAGTTAAGGGGTGGGGGGGGGGGGGGGTAGTGGGTGGGAAGGACGGTGAGTGGTGAGGCAATGATAATAACCATTAATAACATTCCTCCCAGAGAAAAGAAATCCAGATCTCCCATTGGGAGAGGCATAGACACGCAGCACACCCCCCGTCTGACCACTGCCAAGGGTCGGGCATGGCTGGTCATGTGATCGGTCACAAAGGCTGTGGCGAAGTTTCCTCTTCTGACCCCTCTTCCATCACCAACCGCGGTGTGATCAGAGAACTCCAGAGCTCATTAATCTATACGGGGGACAAATGACACAATTTATAATGAACAGAAAATACATAGAACCAAGCAGGATCACACAGAAAAATACCAGAGTCCAATGAGATATGAACTGCATGTGCTGCCACTGATCAACCAATGACACTCACAATCCTCCCCCAATTTCATTTCTTTGTGTGAGCCACCTCTCCGCTCTCTCCCCAAGCTTCCCCTGCAGGTTCATTGCTCCCCAGGTCCTTCACTCTGTGTGAGCCGCCTGTATACTCTCCCCCAATGCTTCCCCTTCCAGGTTCAATGCCCCCTGGGTCTTTCACTCTGTGTGAGCTGCCAGTCCGCTCTCTCCCCACGCTGCCCCTACCAGGTTTATTGCCCCTGGGTTCTTCACTCTGTGTGAGCCGCCTGTATACTCTCCCCCAATGCTTCCCCTTCCAGGTTCAATGCCCCCTGGGTCCTTCACTCTGTGTGAGCTGCCAGTCCGCTCTCTCCCCACGCTGCCCCTACCAGGTTTATTGCCCCCTGGGTCCCTCACTCTGTGTGAGCTGCCAGTCCGCTCTCTCCCCACGCTGCCCCTACCAGGTTTATTGCCCCCTGGGTTCTTCACTCTGTGTGAGCCGCCTGTATACTCTCCCCAATGCTTCCCCTTCCAGCTTCAATGCCCCCTGGGTCCTTCACTCTGTGTGAGCTGCCAGTCCGCTCTCTCCCCACGCTGCCCCTACCAGGTTTATTGCCCCCTGGGTTCTTCACTCTGTGTGAGCCGCCTGTATACTCTCCCCCAATGCTTCCCCTTCCAGGTTCAATGCCCCCTGGGTCCTTCACTCTGTGTGAGCTGCCAGTCCGCTCTCTCCCCACGCTGCCCCTACCAGGTTTATTGCCCCCTGGGTTCTTCACTCTGTGTGAAGCCATCTGCTCTCCCACGACACTCCCCTGCCAGGCTCATTGCCGCCTGTCTACTCTTCCCCCCACCACTCCCCCCCAGGTCCTTCAATCTGTGTGAACTGCCTGTCTGCTGTTCCCCCCCTCACAATGTCCATGCCAGGTTTATTGCCCCTGGGTCCTTCACTCCATTACAGATTATTTATCTTTATTTAACATTGCTTGGCAGCACAGTGGCTAAGTGGCAGCACTTGGGTTTGTTCCAACCACGGCACCACTTGCCTGGAGTTTGCATGTTCTCCCTGTGCCTGCGTGGGTTTGCTCCCACACTCCAAGGATGAGATTTTTTTGTTTTCTTTTTTTATATGGATCATTTTTCAGTTGTATGTACTGTATATGTTTTTTTATACAATGCCTAGGCTTCATATGTATCATTAAGTCTTTCCCCGATTAGACATGTAATTTGTTACAGTCAAACCTAATGCTTTGTATGAATTTCCAAGTGAGATGCTGCTTTTTATTGGGCGCTCCCGGCCATACATGACATACACAGTGCCATCGCTCAGCTCCCATTGTCTAGGGATCACTCAGTAAAGAGGAGCTGTATGGATAGTCGATGTCCTCGAGTGTTTCAGCTGGATATAAATACTCCGTATAACCCCACCTGTCCACAGTACGAGAGTCATGACAACAAGGACACAGCGGAATGGGTCAGACCCCTCCTTAGAAGAAGACCCCCATTCCCTGCCCATGTAAGTAGATGAATCTTGAGGTTGGACGTACCTTACAATCCGGAGGAGCAGCAAACTCTACCAACTGCTTCCCATCTTCCACGTTGTACACCAGATCAAATTTTCCCGGCTCCCTCCCTGCGACATGGAGAACACAGACAGGTCATACTGCAGTCAGATCCCAATAACAATTCTTAGAGGTCTGCACCAAATCCAGCATGTATGGGTGAGTGAAGGCAGCGCACCGACACGGCATGTAAGGTTCACATGACAAATCGTACAATAAAACACATGGAAAGGAAGGGCCCAGGCAGCCATTCTGGGACACATCACCGGCTCCTAGTCATGGATCTCCTGTTCTGGGGTTTCCCTCCGATAGATCGAATGTCACAGAATCAGAACGTCCTGATCCCCCGATACTTATAATACTTTATTATATAAAAGATAGGGTTTCTTCCTGTATTTGTATTGTTTTTATATCTATCTATCCCTGCAGAAGGGATAGCTTTGCTTTGCTTCTGTGCGCACGATGACGTCATCTCTGACGAAACACATTGTGAGGAGCCGGAAGCCATGACACCACGGCGCATGTGGATTCTGAGTTTTTTTTATTTTTTAACTGCCGAATTCATGCTTCGTATTATTTTAAGTGTTTTTTAAAGCGGAGTTCCACCTGAAAAAAAAAAACTAAATAGAAGTCAACAGCTACAAAAACTGTAGTTTCTGACTTTTAAAATACAGACACTCACCTCTCCCGGGGTCCAGTGCAGGGGCGGACTGACCATTTGGAAACTCGGGGGCCCGAGGTCAGTAGGGGGCCCCATGAGATGCCCCTGGTACCTTTTTCATAGGTTTTTTTGAGTTTGGCCAAGGACACAGGGGCCCCATGATCCCCTATTGCCCGGGGGCCCCATGAGTTGTCAGTCAGCCTCTGGTCTAGCGGTGTCTGGGATCCACTTTCTCATCTGTGGGCCAAGAACCGACATGGCGGGTGCCTCTTGGGTAGAGGGGAGGGAGGAGAGAGGACACACATCCGCTCTCCTCCCCTTCTTGTTGGTGACCCGGAAAGCAACATGTATGACGTCACGTGGGTCACCTGTCACCTTCAGCCGGGAAGGAATGTATTGCAATGCGATCTGCATTACAATACATTCACTGGCGCTCAGAGGAGACATGCAGAGTCTTTTAGACCCCGGATGTCTCATTAACGAGAACCTGTCACCTAAAAATCATCACATGGGAGACTTTCTGTCCCCTAAGTGATGGAAAAAAAATAAAAAATTAAGTTAAGCAAAAATAAATAAAATTGCAAAAAATGTAAGTTACACCCAAGCACATGAAATCATATACTGGTGAGGGGGCACTGAGCGATCGGCTGCCATTGTGCTCTATGCTGGGTGTCCAGTGCGCCCCTGTACCTCTAAGGATGGGTGGGCTCCCTCCAGGCTAACCTGCCCCCAATCTATCCATTAATATACATGTGCTTCTCCTATGGGGGCTCTCAAAATTAGAAACAGCAGAAAGTACCGGGTTCCGTGAAGAGGCTCTGCAGGTTACATACGTGTTTACAAATGTGTACAAAATAAATCCCCGTGTTTGATGCAAACTTTCAGACAGGACAATCCGGTTGGTTGCGGGCTGGTCAGCAAGTTGAGCTGGGAATTTTTCTTTGTTGCTTGACATAAACCCCCCCCCCCCAGAAAAACAATCTGAGGCCTCCCACATATGCACGTATGAACATAAATGCACGCATCGGGGGGCCACTACGCATGAAAACATCGATTGTGATACACATGATCCATAACACCAGAGTGAGAAGAGGAATTCTAGCCCTCCCCTGTAATCCGAAACGGATGGCTTTTGCATCGTCACCTATAGAAATTATGGGGGACGGAAGTTTGTTGCCGTTTCACGGACGCACACAAATGTAAGGTTTGACATGTTGGGGATCTATCTACTCGCTGCAACCTCATCTCTGATATTTTACCGAACATTGGGTCATTTATTGTGTACGTTTGCCTTTTGCGGTAATATTGTGACATAAATGAAGAGTACACTATTATATTCTCCGGGGTCTCTGCTCTCAGCAAACATTTGGGGGGTTTTATGTAATCTGAAGGACTAAAATGATTATTTGTTTAAAAGTGTGCAAAAAAAACACATCACAAAACGGCTTCTGGCAGGGAAAGGGTTGATGTGTGGGGTGTCCTATACTGTGCTGGATCATACATTACAATTGGTTATTATTTCCCTGCTATACACAAAGATCACCTAGGAAACCAGTATATTCCATAAACCGTGGGAATCCCCAGCTCCACATCCACAACCTGGACCTTAAGGACACCACAAGACAGGAAGTGGTCTTCCCCTGCACCTCCCACTGTACCAGGGTTCCCCTATATTACCCACATGTCCTGGGATGTGTCTGGAGGAGGACCTCCTACCTCCCAGTGACTATGGAATATACTCCCTATTTGGTGTACAGAGCTGAGAACATGTTCGGAGATGGCTGACCTGGTCCTGTATCCCATAACCCGGGATCCGCCCCCCTTCCACACGGATCACATGATCGATAGGCCTCCCTGGTCACATGGGCAGCACAATACACGGACTGTATGAACAATGAGCGTAGGTGGCGGGAGTTCCTGCATAGTGAATACAGATATCAGGACATTCATTGGACGGGAGCATTTGGAGTCTCTCACTTACTCTTCAGCTTGGAGATGAGCTCCACCTCGATCTTCTGCGTCACGGGATTAAATCTGTGGACGACCCCCTCCTGGACAAACAGGAGAATGACATTTACTGTGTGACATAAAACATGGCTGACCTCCCTGTACACATTACACCCGGCACTGCACGGATATCCCTGCTCAGAACACGGGGCCAGGACACGGAAACCCCCACCGCGTACTCCGCCATGAACTGACTATACCGAAGCTGAACCCCCCCACCGCCTCCTCCACCATGAACACACTCCATGGAACCTGAACCCCTCACCACCTCCTCCGCCATGAACAGACTCTACCAAAGCTGAACCCCCCCCACCGCCATGTTCAGACTACACCGAAGCTGAACCCCCACCGCCTCCTCCACTATGAACAGACTACACCGAAGCTGAACCCCCCACCGCCTCCTCCGCCATGAACTGACTATACCAAAGCTGAACCCCCCCACTGCCTCCTCCGCCATGAACAGGACTACACCGAAGCTGAACCCCCCACCGCCTCCTCCACTATGAACAGACTACACCGAAGCTGAACCCCCCCCGCCTCCACCGCCATGAACTGACTATATCAAAGCTGAACCCCCCCCACTGCCTCCTCCACTATGAACAGACTACACCGAAGCTGAACCCCCCCCCGCCTCCTCCGCCATGAACTGACTATACAAAGCTGAACCCCCCCACCGCCTCCTCCACCATGAACAGACTACACTGAAGCTGAACCCCCCACCGCCTCCTCCACTATGAACAGACTATACCAAAGCTGAACCCCCCACTGCCTCCTCCGCCATGGACTATACTGAAGCTGACCCCCCCCCACCGCCTCCTCCACCATGAACAGACTACACCGAAGCTGAACCCCCCACCGTCTCCTCCACCATGAACAGACTCCATCGAAGCTGAACCCCCCCCACCGCCTCCTCCACTATGAACAGACTACACCGAAGCTGAACCCCCCCCACCATCTCCTCCACCATGAACAGACTCCATCGAAGCTGAACCCCCCACCGCCTCCTCCACTATGAACAGACTACACCGAAGCTGAACCCCCCACCGCCTCCTCCACTATGAACAGACTACACCGAAGCTGAACCCCCCACCATCTCCTCCACCATGAACAGACTCCATCGAAGCTGAACCCCCCCCCACCGCCTCCTCCACTATGAACAGACTACACCGAAGCTGAAACTCCCACCGCCTCCTCCACTATGAACAGACTACACCGAAGCTGAACCCCCCACCGCCTCCTCCACTATGAACAGACTACACCGAAGCTGAACCTCCCACCGCCTCCTCCCCATGAACAGACTACACCGAAGCTGAACCCCCCACCATCTCCTCCACCATGAACAGAAACCACCGAAGCTGAACCCCCCCACCGCCTCCTCCACCATGAACAGACACCAGCGAAGCTGACCCCCCCCCCCGCCTCCTCCGCCATGAACAGACAGCACCGAAGCTGAACCCCCCCACCGCCTCCTCCGCCATGAACAGACACCACCGAAGCTGAACCCCCCCACCACCTCCTCCGCCATGTACAGACTCCATTGAAGCTGAACCCCCCTCCACCTCCTCCGCCATGTACAGACTCCATTGAAGCTGAACCCCCCTCTGCCATGTACAGACTCCATTGAAGCTGAAACCCCCCTCCGCCATGTACAGACTCCATTGAAGCTGAACCCCCCTCCACCTCTCCTCCGCCATGTACAGACTCCATTGAAGCTGAACCCCCCTCCACCTACTCCGCCATGTACAGACTCCATTGAAGCTGACCCCCCCTCCACCTCCTCCGCCATGTACAGACTCCATTGAAGCTGAACCCCCCTCCACCTCCTCCGCCATGTACAGACTCCATTGAAGCTGAACCCCCCTCCACCTCCTCCGCCATGTACAGACTCCATTGAAGCTGAACCCTGGCCAGAGAGATCCACAGGGGTCTCCAGTACAGGTCTCAGGGACAGTAAGAATATGAAATCATTAAACCTGTCTGTATATACAAATGTCCTCCCTTGTGCAGACATCCAAAAACCCTGATATTGCTTCTGGGTGCCGCCATCTTGGATGTGATGTCAGCAGACTCAGAACTCTCACTCTACAGCAGATGTGTCAAACACAAGGCCCTTGGCCTGAATCCAGCCCTCCAGGTCATTTCATGAGGCCCTTGCACCTCTCCTGCAATTGTGGCGCACCCCCACCCCCGTCTCTGCCTCCCTCTTGTTTGCAGTTGGCAGCGGAGAGGAGGACACAACTCTCCAGCCAGATCCTGTGCTTCTCCATGCAGCCACTGAGAGGCTTGTCTTTGCTCCCGTCTCAGCAGTCAGCAGCAGAGAGGATGATGGGATTCCTACTACCGATCCTGCGCCTCTCTGTGCAGCTGCAGCACCCCCTCGTCTCAGCAGACTCTGGCAGCTGACCTCTGGCCTCCTCTGGTCCTGCTCCAGACCTGGCACTTTCTGCTTCCAGCTCTGTCCACAGCCTATTCTCGGCAGAAGCACAAAATAAAGGGGGTGCAATGTGATGTAAGGGAGAGTGGGGGATTCCTGACTTCTGATAGTGGGGGGAGGGTGTCTGACATCTGATGTAAAGGGGGGGGGGAATTGAGTTTGACATTCCTGCTCTATATTAATATTAAAGTGTCACTAACGACCATCCAGACCTGAAGACAGCTTCCAGCACCATCCATGGTGTGTGATGAAGAGTACAAGGGGGAGTGTCCCTGACAACCAGGCCAGGGAGGAAGTGTCACTAACTATCATCCAGGCCAGAAAAGACTCGGCACCATGCAAAGTCCCCTCTGAAAAGGAGAGCGGGCAGCGAGTTCTGAGTGCACAATGTATAGAGCCGCCTACTCCGTGTCCTACTGACAGGAATCTCTCTATTGGATGCATATAAAATGACGGCATCAAAAATGCTACACGTTTCGGCTTCCTCAGCCCTCCTCATAGCGGGATTGCATTGCGTTACACTTTTGATGTGGCGCCATTTTATATGGAGCCAGTAAAGGGATTTCTGTCAGGAGTACATGGAGTAGGCGGCTCTATACATTCTGCAGACCGATGCTCTACAGCCACAGCTCTGCTCTCCAGCATTGGAATCTTGTGGAGAGCAGGTTTGGGTAAGGTCTGCTATGGTGACAACAAGGCAAGGTAGGTCAGTAGTGAGGCAGAGCTGGTCACCAATACTGGAGAGAAGGTCTCTGCCCTCTGCCTGCTCTGTAAAATGAGGAGGACACAGTCTGCATTCCATGAGTTTCATGAGCTGTGCCCACCCAATCACCATCATCTATGCCCACCCAATCACCATCTGTGCCCACCCAATCACCATCATCTATGCCCACCCAATCACCATCTGTGCCCACCCAATCATCATCTGTGCCTACCCAATCACCATCATCTATGCCCACCCAATCGCCATCATCTATGCCCACCCAATCGCCATCTATGCCCACCCAATCGCCATCTATGCCCACCCAATCGCCATCTTCTATTGCCCACCCAATTGCCATCTTCTATTGCCCACCCAATCATCACCATCTATGCCCACCCATAATCTATGCCCACCCAATCACCATCATCTATGCCCACCCAATCACCACCATCTATGCCTGAAGATAAAGTTACCTTGTAGTCAGAGACCTCAGGTGAGTAGTTCTCATTTAATTCCAGAATCTGGGAGATGGAGACAGAGAAGGTGTCAGTGAAGATCAGAGGTGGTATACAATACTGATGGGAGCTCAGAGAAGGTGTCAGTGAAGATCAGGTGTGGTATATGATACTGATGGGAGCTCAGAGAAGGTGTCAGTGAAGATCAGAGGCGGTATACAATACTGATGGGAGCTCAGAGAAGGTGTCAGTGAAGATCAGAGGCGGTATACGATACTGATGGGAGCTCAGAGAAGGTGTCAGTGAAGATCAGAGGCGGTATATGATACTGATGGGAGCTCAGAGAAGGTGTCAGTGAAGATCAGAGGCGGTATACAATACTGATGGGAGCTCAGAGAAGGTGTCAGTGAAGATCAGAGGCGGTATATGATACTGATGGGAGCTCAGAGAAGGGTGTCAGTGAAGATCAGAGGCGGTATATGATACTGATGGGAGCTCAGAGAAGGTGTCAGTGAAGATCAGAGGCGGTATATGATACTGATGGGAGCTCAGAGAAGGTGTCAGTGAAGATCAGAGGCGGTATATGATACTGATGGGAGCTCAGAGAAGGTGTCAGTGAAGATCAGAGGCGGTATATGATACTGATGGGAGCTCAGAGAAGGTGTCAGTGAAGATCAGAGGCGGTATATGATACTGATGGGAGCTCAGAGAAGGTGTCAGTGAAGATCAGAGGCGGTATATGATACTGATGGGAGCTCAGAGAAGGTGTCAGTGAAGATCAGAGGCGGTATATGATACTGATGGGAGCTCAGAGAAGGTGTCAGTGAAGATCAGAGGTGGTATACGATACTGATGGGAGCTCAGAGAAGGTGTCAGTGAAGATCAGAGGTGGTATATGATACTGATGGGAGCTCAGAGAAGGTGTCAGTGAAGATCAGAGGCGGTATACAATACTGATGGGAGCTCAGAGAAGGTGTCAGTGAAGATCAGAGGCGGTATACAATACTGATGGGAGCTCAGAGAAGGTGTCAGTGAAGATCAGAGGCGGTATACGATACTGATGGGAGCTCAGAGAAGGTGTCAGTGAAGATCAGAGGCGGTATACGATACTGATGGGAGCTCAGAGAAGGTGTCAGTGAAGATCAGAGGCGGTATATGATACTGATGGGAGCTCAGAGAAGGTGTCAGTGAAGATCAGAGGCGGTATACGATACTGATGGGAGCTCAGAGAAGGTGTCAGTGAAGATCAGAGGCGGTATATGATACTGATGGGAGCTCAGAGAAGGTGTCAGTGAAGATCAGAGGCGGTATATGATACTGATGGGAGCTCAGAGAAGGTGTCAGTGAAGATCAGAGGCGGTATATGATACTGATGGGAGGTCAGAGAAGGTGTCAGTGAAAATCAGAGGCGGTATATGATACTGATGGGAGGTCAGAGAAGGTGTCAGTGAAGATCAGAGGCGGTATATGATACTGATGGGAGCTCAGAGAAGGTGTCAGTGAAGATCAGAGGCGGTATACAATACTGATGGGAGCTCAGAGAAGGTGTCAGTGAAGATCAGAGGCGGTATACAATACTGATGGGAGCTCAGAGAAGGTGTCAGTGAAGATCAGAGGGCGGTATACAATACTGATGGGAGCTCAGAGAAGGTGTCAGTGAAGATCAGAGGCGGTATACAATACTGATGGGAGCTCAGAGAAGGTGTCAGTGAAGATCAGAGGCGGTATACAATACTGATGGGAGCTCAGAGAAGGTGTCAGTGAAGATCAGAGGCGGTATATGATACTGATGGGAGGTCAGAGAAGGTGTCAGTGAAAGATCAGAGGCGGTATATGATACTGATGGGAGGTCAGAGAAGGTGTCAGTGAAGATCAGAGGCGGTATATGATACTGATGGGAGCTCAGAGAAGGTGTCAGTGAAGATCAGAGGTGGTATACAATACTGATGGGAGCTCAGAGAAGGTGTCAGTGAAGATCAGAGGTGGTATATGATACTGATGGGAGCTCAGAGAAGGTGTCAGTGAAGATCAGAGGCGGTATACAATACTGATGGGAGCTCAGAGAAGGTGTCAGTGAAGATCAGAGGTGGTATATGATACTGATGGGAGCTCAGAGAAGGTGTCAGTGAAGATCAGAGTGTGGTATACGATACTGATGGGAGCTCAGAGAAGGTGTCAGTGAAGATCAGGTGTGGTATACGATACTGATGGGAGCTCAGAGAAGGTGTCAGTGAAGATCAGAGGCGGTATACAATACTGATGGGAGCTCAGAGAAGGTGTCAGTGAAGGAGCGGCTGTACTGGGAAGGACTGACATGGGTGAACACTGGAAATCACCAAATCATTAGTAAAGCAGAACTAACAGAAATCGGTGAGCGGTCAGGAGACGTCTCTTCTGCAATAAAACCCACTGAGCTGCCTCTCACAGTCCTCTGCAGATTGTACATAGAGAGGTGTATGTGTGGGAGTGCGAGCACGTACACACACACACACGTACACACACCACACACACACCACACACACACACACACACACACACCCCACACACACACACGACCACGTACACATACACCACACACACACGACACACACACACACACGAGCACGTACACACACACACACACACACACACAAACACACACACACACACACACCCCCCACACACACACACACACCCACCACACACACACACACCCCCACACACCCACACACACCCCACAACACACACACACACAAGCACATACACACACACACCACACACACACACACACCCAACCCAACACCACAACACACACACACACAAACACCCCTAAACCCCACACCCACACACCACCCACACCACAACACCACACACCCCCCCCCACACACACACACACACCCCCACACACACGACCCCCACCCACCACACACACACACCCACACACACCCCACACACACACACACACACACACACACACACACACACCCCACACACACCCAGCACCCTACACACACACACACAAGCACATACCACACACACACACAAGCACCATACACACACACACACACCACACACACACCACACACACGACACGTACACACACACACACAACACACCAACACCCCACACACACACACAACACACACACACACACACCCCCCACCCCCCACCCCCCACACACACACACCCCACGAACCACGTACACACACACAAAAACCACACACACACACACACACACGCAGCACGTAAACACACCACACACACGAGCACGTACACACACACACACACACACACACGAGCACGTACACACACCCACACACACACACACGAGCACGTACACACACACACGAGCACGTACACACACAACAGCACACACACACGAGCACGTACACACACACACACGAGCACGTACACACACACACACACACACACAGCACGTACCACCACACACACACACACACACACACACACACAAAGGCAGATTCTAAGAAATACAAACAGAAGCCTGGTGTGACGTACATGTGACACGAATGTACAGATCTGAGTAGATGTGACCTGTAGAGAATATGACAAATTTAGCTCATTCCTTGTTAAAGGAATATTCAGTCCTAGGTACTCACACAGATGGTCATCAATTAGCACCTGAAAAGCCCGGCTTCCTCTGGAAGTGACACCTGGGTGCTAATAAGATTTTGTCACCTTCTGGGGAAACCGGTTGGAAGGAAATGGCTGGAGACAGTTTGGCTGCAGATGACCAGGGGGGCTCAATCTGTCTGGGGAGCTTTAAAGTGTCTCCATACATCAAAGGAGTATGTTTCCTCCCTCATAACAGCTAAAATATTAGTTGCAGAGAGATGAAAATACTCCCTTCTGATGGGAAACTCTGTGGGTCACAGCGACATATACAAACCGTATTTGTGGCTTAGATAGAAGGCCAGGAAAATGCAGGGAATGGTTGTGGCGCTGGAGTGCGATAGCAGAACAGTGATTGGTACTGTCGCGATCAGACTGATGCGCTGGTATCGGAAATCCAATCCCCAACTTGGCGTTTCAAGCCGGTCTTGGTCCGATTGAACTTTGGCAGGTCAACACCCAGAACATCCTGTAGGCGGGTACAGGCACACCCCCCAGGGTCAATTGGCCGAGGACTAATGTCCCGCCTACGTCCATATCCCCATAAATGGAGTACCCGCACATTGTGATTCATATGGAGCTGGTCGATCGACCAACAGATTGCTGACTTTTCTGACTTGCTCCAGTCGCAGGATAAATCTCGGTAAAGTGTTACTTCTGTTTTATTCCCTCTTTATTTTATAGTGAAGTCATTTGTGTGTCTTCTTGTAGTTTTTGTATTTCTGTAACTTTTTATACTTTGTACATATTTTATGCTCCGCCCACTGTCGGGAAAGTAAATCTTAAAATAATTAGTGACTTCTGTGTATTTAAGCTCGGGCTCATATCTCTGGAGGGATTGGATTGGAGAGATGAGATTGGAGAGATTGTATCGTATCTTAGTGCCTTTAAATGCTCGGTCAAGCTCATTGCCAATCTGTATGCAATTGCACTGTGTGTGGGCAGATTGCGTGCAGATTGTAAAGGGGACAGATCTGCCAGACGGAGATCTGTGTGTGGTGTCTCAACACACCGTTCTGTGGATAAACTGTTGGGTGGTGACAAGCTACCGTTTGTGGTGTGTCTGGTGTGGGGGGGTGTGGACAGTGGAAGGGTGATAACACCGGGGTTCAAGCTGGAGGGACTCTAGAAGGGTGTGATTGCTAAACTGCTCTTCAACTCTAGTCAGTGCACCAGATTGTATGTAAGAATTGTATCTGCCAGTGTGTGGTCAGCCATCTGGATTGGAGTCTCCCCCCGGTGGTGGCCAGAGGTAGTGCGGGCTGTGGAAGTATCACGGCTGGTCTTATATATTCAGATTAAGTCCCCTTTATTCCCTCTTAACCCCAGTCACGGCTGCACGTGCGCACCTCGGTTCGGTAGTCACTGTGGGCGTGGCGTGTGGGGGATCCGTGACAGACTGGTGGCAGCAGTAGGAAAAAGTCCTATAAATAAAAAGCACCGACACGCACCAAGAACTCACTTCCTCCCCCTCACTGACACCATAGAGAGGGACTGGACTACTACAACAGTGCTGGTCCGCAAAGAAAACAGAGCAACACGTGTCCATTCTCCATGTCCCGGCTCACTAAAAAAGCTGCAAGAAATCCAGGGAGCACCTAACATCCTGGAGTGCGCGGACAATGCTGTTCTGGACTGCAGAACCACTCCTTCCAGGGGAGGTGTTTTGTAGTCCAGTAGGGGAGAACTGGGCAGGGTTCAGAACACTGCTTGGGATTTCTGTGTAGTGTTGCCAGCCAACCAGAGGAAGTTAGGAGCTCACTGGATTTCTCTGTACTTGCAGCGATTGTTGCTGCCCACGTAATGCACATGTGCAGCAGAAAAGAAGGCGGGCTCTAAGAAAAGAAACAAACCGTCCTCTAGCTGGTGGTGCTACGGCTGAGGTTCCTGCAACCCTTTCCAACCAATGAATGTTGCCGGCTTCTTGCCTTCGTAGGGTGGGCTCTAACCACTACACATGTGTCTATGGGAGGCAGAGGTTTCCGTGCTGAGACCACGCTCCTGACGCAGTGACTGAGCCATCACACAGTCCACAAACTCTAGGAATGATCAGGAGCCGGTGGGGGGAGGGTACTGAATTCCAATCATGGTGATCACGTGATCAGGCAGACCTTTCCTCCTTCCGGGTGTAATAACCCGAGGGGTTAGAGAAACACCGAGCCCACTACACACGCATTGTATGTTGGGGTACGATGTACTGCAGGTGGAAGTGTGCTCAATTCTCAATGAGCACCACGGTAACCAATGATTCCCTGCCTGTTGGTGCGACACCTCAGTGGTAATGGGCCCTAAACGTACAGTTCAGGAATGGTTTAGTGTCAGCCTTTTTGAGATCCCTCCCACAGCAGGACATGGACCAATCACTTGTGTTGTGTCAGATGACCCCAAGCTGAGGGCTTCATCATTCTGGACTCACCTGATATACCACGGATGTATTGGTGGCTACTTCTTCCAGCTGCTGCTTCTTCAGAGGAGGAGCATCATATTTATGGAAAAATTGGTTGCCAAACCCTCGTCCTTTCCCTCGGTTTCCCCGTCCTCTGAACCTGAGACTCCCCTGGCCCCTCCTGGGAAAGATGCCTCTTCCTCGCCCTATTCCATGATCATGCTGACCAGGGTTGGGCTCATGTTCCTGATGAATGCCACCCGTCACATGTCCATTGTTTACACAAGATGGGACCACATTTGATATGGATGGCGCTGTGACTGGCCCCTGAATAATATTTGTATCCAAGTCAGAGACAGGATGAGAGGCTTCTCCATGTGGTTTCTGGGACATACCATTCAGAGGCGGTGCAATCCCGACATCCACCAACCTCCTTATAATGTCTCCATTGTCTGAAGAGCTGTCTGTGCTCTTCCTCATCTCAGGAGAAAAGACAATTCTCCCAGACGCTGAGTAAGAGGGGTTTCTGGTGGCCCCTGATGGGTTCTTGCTGGCAGTGGAGAGTTCCTGGTCATATGAAGATGCGGAGTAGTCAATGCTTGATCTGGCCCTATTAGCTGAAGGGTCCATGTTTGGACTAGTCTTATGTACAGAGACAACAGTCCCAGCTTTACTGATCCCCTCGGGAGGTTTCTGTAGTTTGGTGGAGGATTCTTGTTCAGATGAAGATTCTGAGGAGTCGGTGGGGGAGCTCACTGTCACATTCTTGGTGAAGGTTCAGGATTAGGTTTCGTTTTATTTACAGAGACAACAGTCCCGGATTTATTGAGCCCTTTGGGAGGTTTCTTTCGTTTGGTGGAGGATTGCTGATCAGATGAAGATTCTGAGGAGTCGGTGGGGGAGCTCACTGTCACATTCTTGGTTGAAGGTTCAGGATTAGGTTTCGTTTTATTTACAGAGACAACAGTCCCGGATTTATTGAGCCCTTTGGGAGGGTTTCTTTCGTTTGGTGGAGGATTGCTGATCAGATGAAGATTCTGAGGAGTCGGTGGGGGAGCTCACTGTAGCACCTTCAGCTGGAAGCTCATGATTAGCTTGAGTCTTATTTCCGGCGACATTCCTGGATTTATGGAGCCCCTTTGGAGGTTTCTTTCGTTTGGTGGAAGACTCTCGGTTGGTTGAAGGCTCAGAGTCACTGTCAGATATCTGGTCTGAACTATCTGGAGGTTCACGGTTTGGTTTATTTCCAAGTTTAAGCGAGGTCTCTGAGGACTTCTTTACTGAGAGGGAGGGGGCGGGTTTAACTGATTTATTTGAGGGCTTCTTGTCAGAGTAGGTGAGGATGGGTTCAAGGGACATCTCTGAGGGGTTGTTTATAGAGAGAGTACCGATGTTTGTCACACATTTCCCCGATTTCTTCTTTACAGAAAGGGCAGCAAAGAGACTAAGAGTCATTGCTGAGGACGTATTTAAAGGAATGGTGGTGATGGGCTGAATAGAGACCTCAGAGGGATCCTGGTGGGATATGGAGGGTTCCTGGTGTGAGGAGGAACTTGCCCTCACTCTCTTGGCTGAGGACCCTTGGTTTGATCCAAGTAAATTCAGAATTTTTTCGGCTGCTTTCAGAGAAGCTGAAACCTCTGAATGTTTCTTGTGTTTGCTCCTCCCCGTGAACTCCTCAGGGAACGCCTCCTGAGAACTTTCTTCCAGAACCTTCTTTTTCTTTTCTTTTCTCCTTGAACTCTTTGAGGACTCCTCCTGCTCACATTCATCTAGAACAACCATCTCCTTCCTTGGTTTCTTGGCTAATATGGGGGGTCTATCTTCTGCATCCTCCTCAAATCCCTGCCGGGACCTCTTCTTGGACGGGTGGGCTTGGCTGCCACTGTTCATGTCATCTTCTTCAGGATCATGTCCGTGCCACTGCACTCTGAGGGAGCAAAGAGGATAAATGAGTACGGCAGGGCAATATTCTGCTGGAGTAGGACATTGGGGGGGGGGGGGGGGGTAGGTCAGAGGTACACAGGGTAGGGTGGTGGGGGGGACGTGTAGAAGCCAGGCACATACAGGAGTATGTATCAGTGTACCTAGAGGTAGGTGGCCAGTGACTCACCCCCAGATGGAGTATGTATCAGTGTGCCTAGAGGTAGGTGGGCAGTGACTCACCCCCAGCTGGAGTATGTATCAGTGTGCCTAGAGGTAGGTGGACAGTGACTCACCCCAGATGAAGTATGTATCAGTGTACCTAGAGGAAGGTGGGCAGTGACTCACCCCCAGATGGAGTATGTATCAGTGTGCCTAGAGGTAGGTGGGCAGTGACTCACCCCCAGCTGGAGTATGTATCAGTGTGCCTAGAGGTAGGTGGACAGTGACTCACCCCCAGATGAAGTATGTATCAGTGTACCTAGAGGAAGGTGGGCAGTGACTCACCCCCAGATGGAGTATGTATCAGTGTGCCTAGAGGTAGGTGGACAGTGACTCACCCCCAGATGGAGTATGTATCAGTGTACCTAGAGGTAGGTGGACAGTGACTCACCCCCAGATGAAGTATGTATCAGTGTGCCTAGAGGTAGGTGGACAGTGACTCCCCCCAGATGGAGTATGTATCAGTGTGCCTAGAGGTAGGTGGACAGTGACTCACCTCCAGATGAAGTATGTATCAGTGTGCCTAGAGGTAGGTGGACAGTGACTCACCCCCAGATGAAGTATGTATCAGTGTACCTAGAGGTAGGTGGACAGTGACTCACCCCCAGATGGAGTATGTATCAGTGTACCTAGAGGTAGGTGGACAGTGACTCACCCCCAGATGGAGTATGTATCAGTGTGCCTAGAGGTAGGTGGACAGTGACTCACCTCCAGATGAAGTATGTATCAGTGTGCCTAGAGGTAGGTGGACAGTGACTCACCCCCAGATGAAGTATGTATCAGTGTACCTAGAGGTAGGTGGTGGACAGTGACTCACCCCCAGATGAAGTATGTATCAGTGTACCTAGAGGTAGGTGGACAGTGACTCACCTCCAGATGGAGTATGTATCAGTGTGCCTAGAGGTAGGTGGACAGTGACTCACCCCCAGATGGAGTATGTATCAGTGTACCTAGAGGTAGGTGGACAGTGACTCACCCCCAGATGGAGTATGTATGTGTGCCTAGAGGTAGGTGGGCAGTGACTCACCCCCAGATGGAGTATGTATGTGTGCCTAGAGGTAGGTGGACAGTGACTCACCCCCAGATGGAGTATGTATGTGTGCCTAGAGGTAGGTGGACAGTGACTCACCTCCAGATGAAGTATGTATCAGTGTGCCTAGAGGTAGGTGGACAGTGACTCACCCCCAGATGGAGTATGTTATCAGTGTGCCTAGAGGTAGGTGGGCAGTGACTCACCCCAGATGAAGTATGTATCAGTGTGCCTAGAGGTAGGTGGACAGTGACTCACCCCCAGATGGAGTATGTATCAGTGTGCCTAGAGGTAGGTGGACAGTGACTCACCCCCAGATGGAGTATGTATCAGTGTACCTAGAGGTAGGTGGACAGTGACTCACCTCCAGATGAAGTATGTATCAGTGTGTGCCTAGAGGTAGGTGGACAGTGACTCACCTCCAGATGAAGTATGTATCAGTGTGCCTAGAGGTAGGTGGACAGTGACTCACCTCCAGATGGAGTATGTATCAGTGTGCCTAGAGGTAGGTGGACAGCGACTCACCCCCAGATGGAGTATGTATCAGTGTGCCTAGAGGTAGGTGGACAGCGACTCACCCCCAGATGGAGTATGTATCAGTGTGCCTAGAGGTAGGTGGACAGTGACTCACCTCCAGATGGAGTATGTATGTGTGCCTAGAGGTAGGTGGACAGTGACTCACCTCCAGATGAAGTATGTATCAGTGTGCCTAGAGGTAGGTGGACAGTGACTCACCCCCAGATGGAGTATGTATCAGTGTGCCTAGAGGTAGGTGGACAGTGACTCACCCCCAGATGGAGTATGTATCAGTGTACCTAGAGGTAGGTGGACAGTGACTCACCTCCAGATGAAGTATGTATGTGTACCTAGAGGTAGGTGGACAGTGACTCACCCCCAGATGGAGTATGTATGTGTACCTAGAGGTAGGTGGACAGTGACTCACCTCCAGATGAAGTATGTATCAGTGTACCTAGAGGTAGGTGGGCAGTGACTCACCTCCAGATGGAGTATGTATGTGTGCCTAGAGGTAGGTGGACAGTGACTCACCTCCAGATGAAGTATGTATCAGTGTGCCTAGAGGTAGGTGGACAGTGACTCACCCCCAGATGGAGTATGTATGTGTGCCTAGAGGTAGGTGGACAGTGACTCACCCCCAGATGGAGTATGTATCAGTGTGCCTAGAGGTAGGTGGACAGTGACTCACCTCCAGATGGAGTATGTATGTGTGCCTAGAGGTAGGTGGACAGTGACTCACCTCCAGATGAAGTATGTATCAGTGTGCCTAGAGGTAGGTGGACAGTGACTCACCCCCAGATGAAGTATGTATCAGTGTGCCTAGAGGTAGGTGGACAGTGACTCACCCCCAGATGGAGTATGTATCAGTGTGCCTAGAGGTAGGTGGACAGTGACTCACCCCCAGATGGAGTATGTATCAGTGTGCCTAGAGGTAGGTGGACAGCGACTCACCCCCAGATGGAGTATGTATGTGTGCCTAGAGGTAGGTGGACAGTGACTCACCTCCAGATGGAGTATGTATCAGTGTGCCTAGAGGTAGGTGGACAGTGACTCACCCCCAGATGGAGTATGTATCAGTGTGCCTAGAGGTAGGTGGACAGTGACTCACCTCCAGATGGAGTATGTATCAGTGTACCTAGAGGTAGGTGGACAGTGACTCACCCCCAGATGGAGTATGTATCAGTGTGCCTAGAGGTAGGTGGACAGTGACTCACCTCCAGATGGAGTATGTATGTGTGCCTAGAGGTAGGTGGACAGTGACTCACCTCCAGATGGAGTATGTATGTGTGCCTAGAGGTAGGTGGACAGTGACTCACCTCCAGATGAAGTATGTATCAGTGTGCCTAGAGGTAGGTGGACAGTGACTCACCCCCAGATGGAGTATGTATCAGTGTGCCTAGAGGTAGGTGGACAGTGACTCACCCCCAGATGGAGTATGTATCAGTGTGCCTAGAGGTAGGTGGACAGCGACTCACCCCCAGATGGAGTATGTATGTGTGCCTAGAGGTAGGTGGACAGTGACTCACCTCCAGATGGAGTATGTATCAGTGTGCCTAGAGGTAGGTGGACAGTGACTCACCCCCAGATGGAGTATGTATCAGTGTGCCTAGAGGTAGGTGGACAGTGACTCACCTCCAGATGGAGTATGTATCAGTGTGCCTAGAGGTAGGTGGACAGTGACTCACCCCCAGATGGAGTATGTATCAGTGTGCCTAGAGGTAGGTGGACAGTGACTCACCTCCAGATGGAGTATGTATCAGTGTGCCTAGAGGTAGGTGGACAGTGACTCACCCCCAGATGGAGTATGTATCAGTGTGCCTAGAGGTAGGTGGACAGTGACTCACCTCCAGATGGAGTATGTATCAGTGTGCCTAGAGGTAGGTGGACAGTGACTCACCCCCAGATGGAGTATGTATCAGTGTACCTAGAGGTAGGTGGA